TGGATTCGCAGCAGTTCTGTTTGCCACTCCACACTGATGAGTGGGAGGGACAATCAGGAACTAGGCTGCTTCTGCCCTCTCTCTCTCTATATATATATGTTTGTGTGTGTGTGTGTGTGTGTGTGTGTGTGTATGTATGCATGTAAATAAAAGCCTCTATTATATTGAAAAATTTATGCTGGCGCTGTCTTATTTGGCCTGGCTTTGTTTTGAGACTCCTGAAAGATATGAAATCTACCTCTGTCAATAATGCATATGGCATCTTTTCCATAAAATATGTTGAAGTGCAAACTGAACTCTTTCATTTTGAATGCTTCTACTTAACTTTTTTTCAAGGCCGTATTCGTTACTTACTACATCTTCTTATTGCTAATGCTGTACTGAGATGACCTGAAGTTTGTTAATAATTACCATTCTACAGTTTTCTAACCAGTTATTTCCAACAGTTTTGGAAATTATTGTTTATTATACTCTGTTATATTCTATATTCATTTATAGAAAGCAAACCTGCACATTCATTTAGTTTCCATTGGGAAAACTATAAATCCATACTTTAATACAATAAAAGAGTTACATTTATTTATTTTTATGTTTTGTCCTCTCATTTAATTTTCCTATAAAATTATTACTTTTTAAATTATGTTCTGTGTAAAATTAGTTTTATTCTAAAACTGAATAAAATCATGCTTAAATAGAGCTGCTTTTAATATAAGTAGATACTTAAGCAAATATGAATGTTTATACACACACAGGGTACACACTACTATGAATGTTAATAATGTATCTTTGGTTTAAACTCCAATTTCCACTCAAGCATCAAAAGTGTAGTAAATTTGAAATTAAGTGCCAAGCAAGTATGGAGTGCAACTTGTAAAGACTTTGCTGAGCCTCTTTAAATGCTAACAGAGTTAGAAGTTTCATTCCTTCCAGCTACAGTTTTCAGGTTAAGCTTGGGTTGAAGAGGGATGTGTCCAGACAAAGACTGAAGAAGTGCGGCTAAGTCACTTAATAAAGAGATCCTTGATGAACTTAGGTCAATAACTGAGTAAATGCTTGTTGGGGCAAGGGAAAATAAAGCGATGCAGCTGTTTTATTTTGCCCTTTGAAGTGATATGACTATGTTGCTTTGCAAAACAGTTTCAAGACGGTGCTTTGCTCAACATTTTATTAAAGCAAAACTCCCCTCAAAGATTTGCAAAGCCCAATGTTCAGAAGTGGGAAATATAGTAAAATGCTCAGAAGGGGAGAAATGAGTGTGGAACTACAGTTTATTCTTAATATGGGAGGGCATGATTATGCCTTTCTGACAGAGTACAACAGGCTGCAATCAAGCTGTGGGTTACAAACCAATCTAAATCCATTCTCCTTAAAACAGTGAGTACACTTTTGTGAGTATGCATAGAAATATGGATTTATTTTCATGGAATTCAACATTGACCCCCCATTCCAACATGTTGCTTGATAATCTACTCAAAGACTTTATTTGAGTAAAGATTTATAGATGTCAAGCTGACAGGTCTGAAGTTTGCCAGGTTCTCCTTCTTCCTGTTTTTGAAAATGGAGATGACATTTGCTATCCTCCAGTCTTCTGGGATCTCACCTGGGAATATAATCCATCTGTCTCTGGAGACTTGGATTCATTTAAATTAGCTAAGTTCTCTCTTACTCTCTCCATGTCTATTCTAAGCTGCAATTCCCTTCTTCTACATAACAATGTAGCAATAACAATGTGCTACATAGCAAGTGGCATAACAATGACAAGCTAAAGAAGTTGGTGAAGATGGCTAAAGAAGGAACATCCAGGACAATGAATGGAATTAAAAATAAAACTGATGACATTATTGGGGAGCTTCAGCTAGGGAAATGGAATAAGAGCTGGTCTTCCAAACTTATATTTTTACCAATAGAAGAGATATTTTTACCCGTTGCCCAAATTATTTAAAAAATGTAATTTTTATAGATTATATATGATTTTCATGAAAATGGTATATATAACTTAAAATAAATATATGCACAGTTGGAATAATGAGAAAAGTACATATTTTCATTTCTTTTAAACAACAGAGGTTTCAACTTACTTCAATTCAAACAGCAAGAGATTTCTTTGAAAAATTTAAAGAAGAACTGGAGGAAATGCAAATGGAAGTGACAGAAGGATCTAGGCAACAGACACAGCAAGAGACTGAGGAAGAGGCTGCCTTTTAGGTGCTACAGGTGTAGGCTTTTCTAAATTTGTGACATAATTATGGATTTTAAATACCTAATGTGAATATAAATGGAGCAAATGCTCCTCAAAGAAGAAGAAAATAATTTCACTATTTGAAAAAATTGAAACAAGATGTAATTTGTTTACAAGAAATGCATATTTGAAAAAAGGATTAAAAATATTTGGTTTACAAAATTTGGATAAAGAGTTTTTTTTCAGCTGGAACAAATAGCAGAAATGGAGTTGTTCTGTATATAAATCCACTATAACAGCCAGAACTGATATTGGTTGATGATTATGGTAGATATGTGGGGGTTGAAGTAAATTTAAATGGGGTCAAGATTTTGATATTAGGAGCTTCTGAGTGAGGATCTATGGTGGACTAGACATACCTGAAGGAGCGGGAATGGCATTATGGGATAGTTGCTTTGAATTTTTTTTTTTTTTTTTATGAAAGTGCTTTTGAAGAAATTGGAATTAAAATATACAAACAAACTGGACCTTCATGGGAATGTTTTTTGTTTATTATTAAAGACTGCAGACAATTGGTGGATTTCACATATAAAAGATAAAGGTAATATGAGCCAGACTGTGATGCTGACTGTAACTATGGAGTGCCATATTGAGAATATGGAACACAACCTGATATTTGGGTGGCATGATATTGGGTGGCATGGCACAACAAAGTTAAGGTTAATGTGGATTTTAAAAATCATTATGTTAGACGTGCCATAGAGAAAATATGGAATAGATACAAACCCAGGTTGTGCCCAAAATCACCTTTGTGGCTCTTAGCACAAGAAGCATTTTATAGACAAGAAGTAATAGGCAAACACAAATGGCTAACCTATCGTGAGATACTAGAATTTTGACAAGAGGGATACAAAATAAAATCAAGGGAAGAACTGATGGCAGAGGGACATAGTTGCCAATGGTTTTCTTATTTACAGTTAATAGAAAGATTTAATGTAGACAAAAGAATTTATGTTTTTAAACATTGTAAGACTGAGTTTGAAATGGAATTATGTACAAATGGTGAACATGTAATTCTAAAATGTATAAACTTCTAATGACATTTGAAACAGAAGGACAAATGAAAGAATGTATGATAAAGTGGGCTAAATTTTTTGGTTATAATATACATATGGAAAAATGGAAAAATACGTGGTTGAAAGGATTGAAATTTACACTATGTTATAATGTTAAAGAGAATTTTTACAAAATGGTGTACTGTCGGTATATGTCACCAGAGAAATTGTCTAAAATGTATAAAGGCACTTCAGATTCACGTTGGAAATGTGAACAACAAGAAGGGACATTTTATCATGCTTGGTGGACATGTAAAAAAGCTAGAAATTTTTGGATTCAAATATATACATTGATTCAGTGGATTTTAAAAATTAATATACAGCTGAAACCAGAGGTCTTGCTTTTGGGAACTGATGGACAAACAACTGGAAAAAAGTCATGGAATTTTGTTTTTGTGAATGATAACTGCAGCAAGATTATTGTACGCACAAAGATGGAAAGACTCAGCAATACCTACAATGGAGGGATGCCTGGAGAAGATGATGGAACTCGCTGAGATGGCCAAATGACTTCTTTGATTGGAGAAAAGATAATATGTACGTACATTTATTGTTGACTGGAAACCCCTTATGGACTTTTTGTATAAAACAGGAAAAAAATGAATTTATGATTTATGGTTTTGATTATTAGACAGGATAGATTATAGAAAGAAGAGAAACGTGTTGTAACTTTTGAGAAAGAGGTAAATTTATAATTGTACTAATAACTGCTGTAAAGAAGATCAAAAGCTAATTCTTTGTATCTTTTTTCTTTCTTTTCTATTTTTCTTTTACTTTTTTCCCTTTCTTGCACTTTCAGCTTTCTCTTTGATTTCTTTCTTTTTCTTTTTTCTTTTTTACTTTTTATTAGTTTGTATTCATTTTTATCTTCTTTTTAAAAATCTTTTAATAACATTATTTTTTTAAAAAGACTTTGATATTAGGAATTTATGCCCCAAATGAAGATAAAGCAACATTTTACAAGGACATATCGAAAAATTAACAGATTTCTCTTATGAAAATTGGTGTTTAATGGGAGACTGAGACTTTTCTTGATTTACTGTTTTTATTGCATCCATTATTTTTCTTACTGTTATAGGTCTGTTCAACATCTGTTTTTGGTGTTCAGTTAATTTGGGCAGCTTTGACTTCTCTAAATATTCATCTATTTTCTCCTTTTGAATCTCTTCACCTTTGTATAATTTTGCATAATATTCTTCAAATATCTTTTGCATTTCCATATTATCTATTGTCATATCTTTTCCTTTTTGCAATTTTAATACCATTTTTCCCTCTTTCTTTCCTCAGTTTATATACTAACCATTCTGAAAAATTCAATTTTTTTTTTGCTTTGCAAAACTCATTTTTATTTGTATTTCTTTAATGATCAGCATAGAAAATTGTTATTGTAAAATATATATTTGTTTCAAAATACTTTTATTTCCTGGTGCTTGTTAAAGTTCATTTTCTTTCTTTCTTTTGTATCTCAGATACAAAGTGACTGACTACTTCTCAAAAGAATCAAAACCCTTTGAGCTGTGCTCTGCTGCCTCTAATGTGTGGTGATTTTGTGAATGTGGACATATGCACATGGAAGGAACGTTAGCTGGGTGAATTCCATTATAAACTCATCCCCCCTTCTCCCCCTCCTTCATTATGTAAGCAGAATACAGGTAATGGGGGTGACTATATTTATGGCTGTTATTTAATATCAAAATAATAGATCAGTCAATGCAGCTCATAGTTAGAAAATATGGGAAGAGCAACAGAGAAATAACCAGTGGCAGAATCAATTAGTAAATTATGAAGCACTGCCAGACATTTCCTTTCCAAACTTCAAGGTGGTGATTGCATGCTCATTTGCAGTCCTCACAGATGCTGCAGAAAATGAAGCTAAGCACAGCTCTCTGTTTCTTCCACCCAAGTGATACTGAGTAATGGGACCACCCATTTTCATTACGTTTGGGTATAAGCAATCATGAAATAAATTAGCTGCTTTTATCAGGTCACCAAGAATCCTGTATTTGAAGCTAAGCTAAGATCAAAGTAGAGCTGCACCAAGTCTGATTTTTAAAAAAAATATTAGCCTTACATAGAGATGTTTCCAGTCAAAAGACTGCAGCTGTGACTTTAAAGTGATAATTAAAATTGTGAACTGTTGATTTCTCTAGAAGGTTTTCCATTTCCCTTTCAATCAACTCCCCCATTTCCCAGAACAGGCTTATATGACCCTTATAGGTTCTTTGCAACTCTACAGTGGGATTAAACTGTCACAACCCCTAAAGATTTCATCCGTCTGATCTTTTTAAGCAGTGGAAGGAATGAGATTCCAACCAGGAAAAGCTATGCATGCCCGGTGTCAATAATTATTTTCGAAGACCTTGGCAGAGATAAGATCAAGGATGTGATTAAATTTCATTATTCAATTAGTTGCCTTTTCTCTCAGACAGATAGAGTTGACCAGCATGGTAATGTTTCAGGAATGATTATAGTTTTCAGGAATACACTGGCATCTGTACCATTTCACTGAGCATATGATGATTAAAAGTAAACTTCCCAGGTGGATACCGATGCATGGCATTCAAGCCTTACACCTGGGTTTTGTGTCACTTTATATCAGAACATACCCTTTGCTTTACAGTCTCAGTCAATTGAAGTCAGTTTTATTTATCATTTTCCTTTTTTATGTAGGATTAGCTGTTTGTACTGCTGGAGGGGGGTTGTAGTAAGATTTAAGCGTTTAGAGTACCATTATTGCTTATAATTGCAGACAGGATCTGTTTTCACCTATCTGCCCGTATCAAATTATGATCTGAAACTTCATTGCATAGGGTACCTACATACTCTTCCCTTGCCCTTTAGTAATCCCTACAATTTATTGACAAGATTTTCAAAGTCTGTCAGCTTGTTGGTCTCACTGATCATCAAATTTAGTTGAATTTGTCTATCTATCTGAGTATTATAACAGCATTTTTCACCTTGCCTGTCCATTTTACTCTCATTACTCTTTCCATCCAGCAATAGGGAGTTGTAGAAGATGGGGTGGACCTTCATGGTGGCAAACAACGTGACCCAGTATGCCACCAGGTTGATGACAGCTTCAATCAGAAAAGAGCCTAGGAACTAGTGATCCAATTTCTGGAGTTGCCAGATGTTCTGCTGAGAGCCAGACTAGATCTCCTACAGCCAAGGTCGGACTGGAGTGATGGTGCCAATAGGTGAACATCTTGTAAACTTCCTTGGATTTCTGGAGCTGGCCCTGGAGGACTTGATGAATAGCCTGCAACTCTTGGAGAAGCTAATCTGCAGCTAGGACAGTGGAAGCAGATTGGGTCAGTGGGAAGAAGAGGGGATGAAGACAAGGAATGGGGTCATTGGGCTGGTGCTATGCTGGGCATTGCTGTAGGAAAATTCTGCCATGGCCAAGAGCCCCACCCAGTTGTCCTGCAATAAATAATTCATGTAACAATGTAAATATTGTTTCAAAACCCCATTCACTCATTCAGTCTTATTATCAGATTGTGGGTGGCGGACCATTGATCTGAGCCCCTAGATTCTTGAACAATTCCTGTTAGAATTCAGTAGTAAACTGTAGGCCACAATCTTAAATTAAATGCTCTGGTAAACCTTGGCTTTTGGCAGTACAGTGCACAGGATTAAATGCAGTATCTTGGCTAAGGTATCTACCATGCCCAAGTGGGACATGAGACAACATATTGACTAATATCATCTTGCACATATGGACACCAGAAGTTTCATAGTACCCTGCAGGCTGGCACTCATAGCATAGCTGAAACACCTTACATCACAAGGGGCTAGCCAGAGTGTGGTAATGCCCCTGGAAGCATAGGAGCTCCTGCTCCTATGCCCAGTCACTGATTTGGTGGAGCGGGGGCATGCTCTGAATCTTCTGTTCACAATCATGGGGATAAGGATCTTGCTGCAGCTGCTCCCATAAGTTCTGCAGCAAGTCAACCATGAGTGTAGTGGCAGTGAATTTCTCTGAGGATATGACACTCATAGGAGGTGAGGAAACCTCCAAG